TATATTGATAACTGATAACTGATAAATTACATTAATAAATTAAAATAAGTATGAATCGTAAGTTACATAAATTATAAAATATATCTTACATAAATTACATATAATATAATGCATACTTATAATATTATATCATTAATATAATAAATTATATATTTAAATACGTAAATCATCGTTAAAAAGTTAAATAAGTATGAATTATGAATTATTGTGTAACATCATATTGTATAATGTATAATTTACAATATAATATAGTAAATTATACATTCTTCAAATACGTAATTAAATATACGCAAGCCATTAATCATTTACCCCACGCAAAAAGTAAAACGCTAACTGTAACATCAGTACTAGATAATTAACACTAAACGTACCGGCATTTTACATATGCCTATCTTACCATAAGGGGTCAAATGACCCCTCGCGGTACATAAGGTATGTAAAAAATTGTTCTCTGAATAATCAGATAATATAAGAATTTACAAAAAGTCAGATTAAGCGAAAGAAATAACAACGAATGTACGATTTTAAAGTAAATTTTGAAAAGGGGCCATTCGACCCCTCTTGGTACGTTTAGTGTTAACTAATCCATTCAGGTTAGGTTTATTAGTAATCGTACACAACGGTGTTGGAATATTAATGCGTGTCACTGTAATAATAAGAATGGAACGTTAGAGTCGAATTGTGGATAGGATTAAGCTGACGAGGACGTGACGACGAAAGAGAGTAAACGATTTAGAAGAACTACCCCAGGCCTTTATTCTACCCTATTTCCCTTATTTTCTCGCCAGATAGGCCCTCGAATTTATCGAGAATATTGCGCAATATATTCGTACGTAATTTCCACTCACCCTTCAATCTTACTCGCCTCCATTTGACAACGAGTGAGACAAACGAGAGACGTGTACACGCAAAACGCGTCATAGATCAAACGAATATCCCATTGTCTGTTAATAAAACTATCGTGCACTGTCAGAACTGACACAATAGCTAGGTGATCGTTGACCCTGTTCTCTGTTCGCAGGCGGATCGCGCCGTGAGTAATGCAACCACTCAGGCAGCCGAGTAGCAAAGCTCGTTGTCGAAGATCGATTCCTCGAGCGTTCGCGCGAGTTTCAACTCGCCTCAGTCATGTCACTAATTCCAGCGCTCCTGCGTTTCTCCTCCATTCCTGTTTCCTCCCCACCCGTTTTCATCCCAATCCTCGTGCTATTGTTTTTCCTATCCTTTTACCTTCTGTGTCGCGTGTTTCTTAGCTCGAGAATGTTCCAGAGACATTTCTTTCTTCTTTCTGACTGAAGGATTTCAATCGCGCAACGACAAATTTTGTACAATCTTTGTCCCTTTTTATTTTATATCATCGTTATGATCAGGTTATGTAGCATTGTCGTCTCCATTTTATTATCTGCTACACGGCGTAAAAATAAAATTTTGAAAGTCGAGGTTTCATGCTTTAGGATGAATCCAAGTTTATTTTTGTACGATTTTTTTTTTTTTTTTTGGTTTTTTCTTTTTACGAAACAGTTTAAATATTTAGCGTCCGAATATTAATGGAATCCGCTGTGTGTAAAACTGTTAAAAAAATTGTGAATTTTGTGATGAATTCACATTGCCTATATAATCACCGGTTAACTATTAATACATGTTAAACCTTGAAGTCTGTCATGCTGCACAGTTTTGTAATTTATATCTATATTTATATTATATCTATATATTTATATTATAATTTATATCTATATTTATATCTAATTTATATCTATATTTAAATATTTAAATCTATCTATATTTAAATACATATTGTATTTAAATATAAATTGTTACATCTATATTTAAATATAAATTAATATTTTTTAAATATAAATTAATATTCACTCACCTGTGTGAAAAACGAACAATACTTTGGTAAAAAGTATGCCAAAGTATTGGCAGAAAATCTGTCAGTAAAACTTCAGATTAACAACGTTGTATCTTGCAATGTGTCATTCTTGATCCAATGCGATTCTGCATTTGTACCGAATATTTTCAATTCTAATAATTTCTTTCTTTTGAAATCTACATGAAAACAGAAACCAATACTTTTTTACGTTGTTTTTCAAAATATAAATAAACAATATCCCGGTATAAGCCCGTCACGATTATTCCAGCGAGCATACAAAACATTACGTTTCAATTCTTTGTTGCATCAATGATGAATACGAAAAAAGCGATGCTCGAAAAATTACTCAAATATTCGAAAAATGCTCGCGAGAAAAAAAAAAAGAAAAAAATACTCGATACTCAAAGTACTGAAAAAATGAAAGAAAGGAAAAAAGTGAAACTCTAGTGCTTTGAAATGATATAAAAATAATTCGTGGCAAGGAGAAGTTCTCAAAGTTGACGCGTAGACAATTGGATAGAGATAGAGTCAGTCTTCATTGTTCGTATAATTGTTTACAAAAGAATTTAAAAAAAAAACTCGACGTGAAATTTTTATATTTCAATAACGATATTAAGTTGTGCACTTTGTTTATCGATGTTCGTTCGCTCGGCAAGCGTCTTCCATCGCCTTTGTAGGGAATAGTTTTTGATTTACGAGGATTTCAATACCGTGAAGTATGAAACAGATCCTTTTATGATCTGAAAAACATCGTGCATTCTTATTTCAGTGGAATGTCCAATTAATCGTAAAACGCTTGCACCTTGTTTACCAGTTGAGAACTGAATCAATGTGTACTTACTCGGGCGAAAGTTTCCAAATTCAAGGTAAGTAATCCTCCAGCTGACAGAATCGGAGCACTCAGGCAACTTCTTAGTGCTAATACAAACAACAGTTGCGTCTCTTTATTGCCATTATACCACGACGCATCGTATCTGTGAACGATATGAATTCATTAATAGAAGATAACGAGCGACTTGATTGGATCGGGAATTTCA